AAAAGAAACAAAAAAGAATAGATGATTCACGAAAATTTTTTTGAGGTAAAAACGCGTAATTATAATCGCATGGCATTTCCGAGCGTTTGCAAATTCTTCGAAAATAGGACGTTTAGGCAACGCCCATGTAAGGCACACACGCTTGTATGAGCTGAGCTATTTTCGTTACAGTCAGCTACTGCTCCCACAAAGTTCGTCGCCCAACAACAACAATTTTCCATCCGTATTAATGGCACACTGTTTTGTTAAGGAAAGGGAGGCTTCCTTTCTTCTTAAAGTTTTTAAAATTCTTTAAGAAGATTCTGGTACGGTAATTTATTCAACTGCTCAGCTTAGTTAATTCTTAGTCATATCAATGAAAACTTCACTGAACTGTGGCTTACGCTAGGAAAGTGCAACTGATTTCAACACGTGCTTAAATAAAAGGTCAACTTCGTTCCGGCAAACCCTGGAGGCGAATAATCCGTAAACGGTTTGTGACATAAGGGGCAGAAAAGTTTAGAAGTATCATTTAGGTACGTATTGCAAATGAGAAAGATGTATATTATATTAAGTCAGCAGCGAGTAGCCTCCTCCGCAGGAAATCCCTTTCGTAACAGTTAGAATAACCGCGAGGACTAAACGGGGCAGTGATCCCTGCAGAGGAGGGCAGAGAGCCCCTTAGTGGTATTATCAGATCATCCTGAAACTTCAAATGAGACGAAACCATGCACTAACTTTATCTCTTATTATCTATTCGATTAGTCTCGGTTAATGTTAAGAACTTTTCAATCCCTGAATATAAGATAAACAGGAGAGGAGAGAAATAGTCAGCTCAGGCGAAAGGCGGCGATTGATCACCAGCAATGGAAATTTTTGCGAACCAATTGTTACATCACCTGTTACCAGCGTTCGCGCCTCTGGCAGCCCGTATCAACGTACCACACACATACTTATACAAAACATTTCTCAACATATTAGCTTTAAAGCCACAAAAAGTTTAGCTTATTGTCAGCTTTTGTGGGGTCTAATCGAAACATGCACTGGGGGGAACTTTTAGGTGTAGATCTTCCTAAAGGATAAGCAGCATCCCACAACAGGAAATTCAAAATACCCCACACAACACGTACGTGACTTACACCATACCATTCTCTCTTGACCGTACAGAACACAGCTCAGGGGATCAAAACTTACCTTTTCGAAAATATCAGTTAGAAAGAAGGCTCCCGAAAATTCTAGGTGACCTTTTTAGAGTGAAAATCCGTTAAAAATGGGCAATTATACCATCTTTTAGATGTTCGAAAATCCTAGTAGGGGCAGGCAAGCAAGAAATTTTACAACAAATGTTCCGAAAATTCTAGATCTCAAATCGTCTTCCGAACAGATATTTTTTGAAAATTGACGTTGGGTGCCCCTGATTAGTACTGTTTACGTTAAGTTAAGTGTATCCAGAAGTCAGCTCAAGATCTTCGCGAGCCTTTCTATCAGTAACTGTCTTATTTTATGTGCGAAAATTTGTGGTGTAGAAAATAGAGCCCGAGACTGATTTGCGCGTTAAAATGATTTTGAATTTTAAGTTTTAATTTATGCGCGTGTTGAAATCTTCCCGTGGTTTTACCAAGCAATGGTCTGAGCACATGTAAGATTCAACAAAAGTCCCCATGATCACGGTAAATACGGATTTCGTGAACTCAGTCGGCAGAAAACAAGCCCGGGAAAACGAGTCAGATATACCGGTACGCGAACTGTTATCATATAACTTGGTCTTCTAGTTGTAATCTACAATTCGTCATAGTGTGCTAGGTCGGGTGAGTTTGGTGAAATGTAAGCGTTAATTCAAAGCCACTTGACCAATCTCTGTTTACGCGTTCAGGCGTCCTAATTTTGTTTGCTTGTTTTTTGGACTGCGAAAAGTAAACGAAGACGGCGCAAATAAGTTGGACACTTTCCTTGCTTTACCGCGCTCGCAAAGAATCTGAAAGACGGTCTGATCACAGGGTGCTATATATTCCATTAAACTGAGATGAAACACTGAATTAATATTGTACGTACTTATCGAATGATTAAACAGATTCAGTGCGTTGAAAGTTTGTTTCAATGCAGGAGAGCTAAATTTAATGTCTTTCAACTAAATCACTTTTCAGGGGGTGATCTCCACCTTTGTTCGCAATTCTGCCGGGCAGAACAGCTAATTATCCCAAATGAAGACCTTTTAAGTGGTAAACATCGGACCAACAGGGTTTGTAAATTTGTTTAAACGGTAAAATAAGTAGCCATGTCCCCCACCTAGAACCTCGTCACACTTGACTTGACTGATAAGCTTATCATTTTTATAATGGCGCAATATTCAGCGTTTAGGTTTTAAGAAAATAATATTAACGAAGTCCTTAAAAGAACCATTTTTGTTTCCTCACTCAGAACAAGTATACAGCAAAAGGCAAGGAATAGGAAATAAGAAGCTTTCCATAATTTCATTGAAATGGAGTTTTACCCAGGAAGTTTAAAGAAAAAGGAAAGTGTTTGAAAATGGCAATTTGCTATTAAAGGAAGGCCTCCACGACATTCCTGGCCTGGTACAGTGTGTATAATAGAAAAATTTAATTGCAAGGCTGGCTTAAATGACTTGACTAAAAATAAATGCCCGTTTTGCCGAAAAATAAACCAGTTTATCTACTTGTTATGTGCAGGGGGGTCTGGTACACCTCTGGGTACAAGCTAAGCACTTCAACTGGAAAGAGATCCATCAACGCCTAGAAGAACACACGGCCGAGTTTCTTCTTAGTTCGGTGTGTAAGTATGTGTTTCATCCTATTCAAAGTTTTTATATTTCCTTCTGGTTTTAAATTTGTTGCAAGTGATTTATTGCATTTCTAAGAGACTTGCAGTTTGACACAAACTTCCATTAAGTTTTGCCCGAGGTCAAATATAATCGCCGCTTTGCGTCTTACGGAATATTGCATGATGTTGTCCAGTAAAGGAAAAAAAAGAAGCTATCATGGTGTGTACTATATAATGAATTTTACTAGATTTAAAACCAAAGTATTCTTGCTTAGCTGTTAAAAGCGGGATTCCTTCAGCGGATTAGGTGAATTTGGTTTTCACTATATTGTTAACGAAATTCTCTCGCGTAGGCTTAAAATTATTATTCCTTGAGCCGTTATCACAGCCAGAGTAATTTAAATGGACAAAGAGTTTCTAGAAAGACGTCCGACTTGTTGTGGTACTATGGTCCCGTTGGTGAGGAGAAGAAACACACACAAACTGAAAAGACTTTATTTGCCCAGAGCTACATACAAAAATGAACAACGATTTATCGTGAAAATGCCTTACGTGACGAATAAAGGCTTCAGAGTGGAACCACTCCACTCCGGCCACGCATGTACGATTGCAATTTTCCACCAACATCCGAGTTCGTTTAGTATTATGTCACCAACTCTGTTAACGCGCCCTCTGACTCCGGTGCGTTTCCAGTCCGTGACTTGATTCTTACGTCGCTCATGCACATTCCATGTACATTCGAGCACTGGAATACTCTTTTTCTTTGGTAGTAAGGAGACCTCCCCCCGCCCTCTCTAAAAATAAGAGAAAGAAAAAAAATTAAAGGAAGGTATTTTATGTCAGCTGGCTGGTATATTTTGTGGGTTTAAATTTGCCCAACGGATAGAAACGTCCTACTGTAGGAAATTTAATCCCGCCTGCGTCGGTGCATGTCGTCATAACGCTGTTAACATGCACTACTCGGTCGAGTGCAGGTCAAACGAACTTCCTCTTTTAAGTAACTGCGTTTCAATCTGACTTCTTTTTTAACAGACATGCCACATTTAGCTGCAAAACGGACACCTCCCTAATGCTGACAATTAGGGGTGGTAGAGTTGATCGCCCTCGTTCTTTAGTCATTTACTTTGACTGTCTGTATCGGGAGGACACTGTTTTATTAGAGGGGAGCGGCCTGGCTTGAAGAAACGTGACTGCACAAATCCTAACCAGTGCTGGCAAAGTACGCTAAAAACGCTGCTTACCAATGAAAGTGTTTTCAAACTAAATAAACAAGAATAAGACTAAAAAGCAAAGAATTAAAGAAAGCAGAAGAAGAAGTAAGAAAAAGAAGAAAATAAAGAAATAAACCAGTAACAAAATTCGCAGCAAGAATTGGATTGGCTGAAAAGTCCAGTGATTCTCAATAGTTCATAGTTATATACTGAATCTGCTAGCTTAATTACTTTTTATCACGAATATGGAGGCGCGAAAAATTTTGCGAACCGGTAGCGGGCTACAATAGGCTTGGAAAAATACACTGAGCTAAGTTTGTGGCAAGATGGCGTGGTCTGCCTGCCAGGATGAATGAAATAAAATCATACTTTCCAGTGCCGTAGCTAGACCAAACGGCCAACCGAGGCAGGCGGGAGTTGCTAGGGGGGTTCGGGGGCATGCCCCCCCCCTCCCCGAGAAATTTTGAACTTTAGTGTCTCGGAAATGCGATTTGCAGCGTTTTCTGGGCCTTTCGGTAACTTTTTTTCGAGTTAATTTAAGTGCAATTTAAAAAGCAATAATCAGAAACAAGCTACATAATCTGGGTGACCGTTAACCTCGCCAATGGTTTTGATCAGTATTTGTTCAAAAAAAATTTGAGTTAACGTACGTAGCCCCTTGAGATCGATGATATATGTAATATCATGATGCGTTAAAAATATCCGATGATCGCTTATGTAAAATAAAAATGATCGGCGAAATTCGTCAAAATTTTACCGAGGCGAGTGCCTCGGTTGGCCTCATACTAGCTACGGCGCTGCTTTCTCTGAATTATTTCTATGCGTATCGGAATAGATTCAGAAGTAAAATGTAGATCATTTTTGTAAAGCAAACGATCATGAAATCTATCAGTTTGGTTTACTCCTGTTAGTACAGTCGTGAATCCTTTAATTTCAGCTTGATGCTTTCGCTATATGAGATGTATTCCAAATTATGCTCAATTAAAACTGAGTCAAATTTTCCTTTTCAAGAATTTTCCTTGTATTATAGATTATTCCGATGATCTGCCCAAGTCTGCCCCAATTCTGCCTGCAAAATGCGGAATTCTACCGCCGGGAAATGTGCTCGCTGCCCAAACTGATTCTGCTAACAGGAGTACTAAACAAGCTTTCTTCGCCAACTGGTGCTGAGCCCGGGTAAACGTATGTCAGAAACTTACTGGTGAAATAATAATAATAATAATACTTGACAATAATCCGGTCTAAAAGATGACTCTCTAACCTGAGTTGGCTACTTAGCAAATAAAATCAAAATCAGAAGCGGAACATGTCTTTTCTATTATAAAGAGGGATCTATTCTGCTCACTTGATCTCTGCCAGAACCCGGAAATATCGCAGCAGAGAATTGAGGAAAGGTGCGGCCGTTTACCTGAACTGATCATTAACTGTGACACTGAACACATGCGGAGTTTTTTTTGCGTTCACTCACTGAAGAATAAACTCGTTGAAATGGCTGACTTTGCCCTTGTTTGATTCAAAGCGTTTTAATTTCAGTATAATTATACGATATCTTAGGCATAACAGTTGCATACCGCATAATAACGGATTAACACCTACGGTTCAACTGAAACAGCTTTCAGTTACTTATTCCAAACAATCTGAACAATGATTATTATAATTAATGCTACGCGCATTGAACCGATTTACACCATCGGTGACTCCCTTGGTTGGTTCGAAGCCTGACTGTTCAAGTGAAAATTTTCACTTTTACAGCTAGAATCTCAATTTCAGAGTACCAACACTTGCAGCGTGACACTTGAGCTGACTCCTCTATTTACCATAATTACGTGTACTCTAAAAAAAGGGTGTAAGATTCGCATGGAAGATGTAATTAAGTAATGTATGGAAACAGAAGAATCAGCTGAACGTATAAGCTTTTCACTGAAGGAAGGAGACCAGAGGCAGTTTTCAGAAAAACAAAATCCGGAAAAGGGTTTATTGTATCAGGATATTATGCCATGATTATAAATAGCCGTGACTGTAACAATTCTGCATGCACGTGTATTATTTTCTGAAACAACTTTCTTCTGATTAAATAAACGGACAACTTCGCACATTGTTTCTCGTTAACAAACAGTTTGGATTTGCAGTGTAAGGCATTTTGAAACACTTGCTGGGTAAGGCATTTTGAAACACGGTTTATCGGTAAAACTGTCAATTACTGTGGGATATAAAAGTGCATTTCCTACGAATAAATGTTAAACCCCATTAAAAGGTATATATACCAGCTTTTTGACGAAACAGTAAAGATGATGCAAATGTTTTTATTTATTTATTTTTTTTTTCAAACTTTTAGGGTTGACGTGTAAATCCTCAGCTCACTTAGTTGATTTGCTTCTTATTTTTAGAAGTAACTTGATTTAGTAAAATTCTTATTTGGTAACTTAAGGCTACGTCAGAAAAATATATTGCAATATCAGCTGGTTTTAAAACTAGGCCTTTAATACAATTTGCTGTTTAACTTTCGTAGGGTCAGCGAAAATGAGCGGTCCTTTTCTTCTGAGAGTCAAGAGAGACCGCTTCGAAAATATAGATACTGACTACTTTTCAAGTACCTAACGGTTGGTGGGATGACAGCCAGGCAGCTTGTTACTACATCGTATTCTGCCACAGTAGAAATAATATTTGCTACTTCGGCATGTCGAGATGAAAGAAAGCTGCAACATTTAGATATTGGAAACAGGTTATATCTCTGCAGTTATTTTTTCAATGCCGCGAGTTGACGTCAATACTGAATTAAAAATGCTGTTATTTCTGGATTTTCCGTGGGACAAAATTTTGTTCCTTACGTATAACTTCCTCAATGAGAAGTCTCTTTAGAATAAAAATGTTCTCTATGCTATGGCGGTTCCCAGAAGTATCTCAATAGTTCCAAAATCGTCAGCCGATACGAACAGTGCCTGAAACGCGCGGACACAGAATTTCCTCAACCATATGAACATGTCGCAATAAAGGTCGATGAGTGCTTCCACAAGCGAGGTGAAGTTACCTGTAGTGACCTGAGATTATCGGCGGAAAATTTATATATATATACTTTTTTTACCTAGCGTAATAGTTCGCTTGAAAGAATGTTGATACTCTGCCAGCTAAGCTGTTAAATTCCATAACTATTGCCGATTATGGTATCTGAAAATGTTTAGGCTTAAATTTTTTGGTTTCCTGAGTCCTTGCGTGACAACTTCTTAAGCTCTTCCTGTTTTTCTAATCATTTTCTCGCCCGCTTTAACGGACAATCGCAAATCCGAACAAAAGGGAACAAATACAAAAAATTCAGTCCATATGCTTTCGTAAAAGGCTGGCCACAACTCAGAAGAGTTCCACTGAAATGACTTCCGAAGGAAAAAAAAATCACGACCAAAGAAATGATGTAACCTTTTCGATCCGGCTTCCCTTCAGTGCGGGATATCTTGGCCTACTACACATTTAAACAGAAATATTTTGCCCTTTGTTCGTAATAGGCGGAAATACGGTTAATCTCCCCCATTTTCGCTGATGCGAGCATAACTTAACTTGCGCCCAGGTCCCTCATTAGTGGCCTCGCTGATTATATTTCCTTCTCTTGGTCTGCCCATAATGAATTACATTATGTATGACATCACAACTGGGACCCCCGCTGATTCGTACTTAGACGATGAGAGAATTGCGGAAACGAGTAGAATTGAAAACAGCTCTCGATATCGGGTCGTCAATGTAAACAAAGCCATACAAACGGCAATAAAGCTATGCGTGGAATGTGTGACAGTCACCTGACAACTTAAAACGCCGCAAACTCCCTCGATCATGTTCTTGAGCGTGTGGACTGTCATTTCCGATATTCAGGACAGACAAAATGGGCTTGCCCGGGGCATTCCTTGACATGAACAAGACAATGTTATTGAAAACCCCTCTATGACTAACAACGTGACACCTTTTGCGGGACTTTCCTTTTTCTGTCGCCAGACATTGACATAATCGATCGCTATAAGGGCTGGGCCATGGAGTGAATCCGGTTATGTCTGCGGTTAGATAAATTCGCTTATAGTAGTTGGATATTCATTCGAACAAAGTCATCCGAGTAGAACACAACTAACAAGAGCTTATTTATTTTCGTTAATCCCGAATTAATTTGCGAAAGATGTTTGACATGATGTGCAGAACTATAACTTTTCTATGGGTATTCACCTTGGTGTTAATTTTTACAAGGTAGGTAAAATATCATTGTATGTTTTTAGTTTTTTTTGTTTTGAACTTTCCACGTGGATAGATATGGCCATAAAGACTAATTTTATGGTTGCTTTAATTCACGTACACGTCTAACATTGTCTTAAACAAGTATCATTTTAAAAATGCTTTATCATCGATTTCTTGTTTATCTTTTAGGGCAATGGCATTGCCTACTATGAACATTGCACAAATCTTGGTAAGTGTTTTAAGTGAGACGACGTTTGGCTGTCTAATCTAAGTACAAATATTACGTCAGTCAGTAAAATTGAGTAGAGTCAGTATTATTATTTCATGATTGGAAGGTCACGCAATGTTCTAATCGAAAATAAAAGTGATTTTTTTTTTTAAGTTATCTAAATTACAACGTCTTGATTACTAGAGAAGACATCCCCTTAGATCCAAAGTACGCCTTATCGCGCGCGCAATTAAAAAATACAAAGACTCTTTCCCGAGGGGTTTTAACGAATTGGGCGCTCGTGGTGAGTCAAATTCATTGGTCTCTGACGGAGGCTAATTCTGCTAGTCGTACGTTGGCCTGTCTAGCCAGTTCATATAAAACAATAGCAAATAAACAGTTATTGTATAGTAATCGAAGTGACTGTGTTAGCCTACAATATCAAACTAATTGACTTCTGCTCTCTACCTTTTTATAGAGTTCAAAAACAGAGTACACAAGTATAGCAAAAACTGTCTGGTTATATTCTACAAACGCCAGAGGATTTGTCAGAGTGAACGGTTCCCATGTCGATAGCTCTTGCTATGAGTGCGACAAAACCAAGGACGAAAGCGGTATGTGTGAACTTTCCTTTAAATCTAAAATTATAACTTTCCATAAACTCAGTGGCCTACGTACAGGGACAGTTAAGCGCCGACCACCCAAGCTGACAATTGGCAAACTCGCTCATTTTCCACCCGGCTGGAGACGCCGTTTGTAGATCGACTGCGTGCCCATCAAGATGACAATGCAGTTCGTAATAAAAACTAGTATGACCGCTATATTTCTTGTTATTTATGGGAAAATTTGCTTTTATACTAGCGGCGTGTTGTGTTAGTTTCGGATCAAAGAGCCCCGCCGACAAATAATCTCTCTCAAGTTTTAGCCTTCAGGTTAAACTGCTTTAATCTTCTCCGACAATTTTAGTTCGGAAGCAAAATCATTGACACTCTTCGGGTACATATGTAGAAGGTCTCTGATAAATTTGTATATCTCAGTTACTTTGACGACTTGTTAGTAATCCGCCAGGAAAGAGTCATAAACTTAAGTAGCATCATCAAACTCATAAAGAGTGTTAAGCTATACTATTATCCAGGCATTAAAAGTCGATTATGAGCTGTATTTAAAGACACTATTGTACAAAAAGTCGGTAGATAATCTTTGTACTGTAAAGCGGTGACAATTAATCACCGCGGGGAACAATGACTGATTTTCCCGCCAAAAGCGGCGCGTGTATCGGCTAATCCTGGTTGAATTTTTCCGACAAATGTGCAAATGCAAAGAATGAGGTGGAATTATTGAAATCAAAGAAAGATTATCTTATTAGTCACCTGCTGTTTATTGTTACACTTACTACCGATTTCAAGGTGTCATTGCAGATATTTGCACGAAATCTTTGCAGTTTTGGACAAAGCGATACTGCTAGATTTGTTCTCAGCTCCCAAAATAATGCGTCATTTATACTATAACTCGCGTCACAGTAAATCGCTTGCACTTGTGAAACAAATTTCACTTGCTTTGCTTTTGCGCCACTAAAGGTCCCGACGTAACGTTTATCTTTTGCCTGTTGACATACAATGCAATAACTAGCACTTGTAAAATAATAAGCTTCTATTTATCGCTCAATGTATGGCACCTGTGAGTTCTGTAGAAAAAAAAGGTCATTGCTTTTGTAGAGTCTTTCTCCAAGAAACCCTTAACGCAGTCACCCACAAAGACGTGTGATAAATCGGCTGCTAACACCTATTAAGTCGGTGCAAGATGTCTCCCAGTGCGGCCTATTTTAATGAAAGCTACTACCCAGTACGTTTTCCGTGGTACTGTGAATTACACTTCATTATTAAGGCGTCTTTATTAAGTTAAGCCTTTGGATGAAAATCTATTTAATAATCATAATTCAAAACAATGTAAGAAACAGTTTTATTCGTGATGATGTTTATGTAGCACGAATTAACAGAGCTTAGTTGGAAGTTCCGAGTATGTTTAGCCTTGTGCATGGGGCCAAATGAAAAAAAAATTCCCACAAACCTTAAACGATGTGTTGTATATTTTTAGTTTTTCTACTCAATGTGGTATTTTGGCCAATTTCCTCTCGGAAGGTGAACAGTTAACAGTATACGTATAAAATGCTTTCTGATGTTTACAACCAGTGTAGCGGAATTTTTGGAATCCGCAAAATTCCTGTTTAAAAGCCAGGCGAGCGTGAGCGAGAGATCTTTGTTCGTTCTTTCGTCAAATACAACATGCCAGCACTGGCCTCCTTTTGCGGCTAAATTATTTTGATTTAAAAGACAACATCGGCGCCAAGGAATTCATTTGAAATGCATTCATCGGTTGTACTTTTGAGTTGCCTATTCACTTCAGCCATTGTTTGCGTTTTAAGAGTTCCTCTGACGCAGTAAACCCTTTTTCCTTTTTCATCTGCGAAGCCTTTGTGGGAAATTGTTTAATAAACTGAAGTTAAATTTATTGTACCAAAGAAAGACCATTTGGCCGCAAGCAAAGAATTAAAGGAACTGAAAAGGAGTTGTGCAACCAGAGGGATGCCAATAAAACCATTGAAATGATAAACAAACACATCAAAAAAGAAAATAAACAACATTTTTTTTATTTTTAACTGCCGACATGATCTGTGCAATTTCATCCCCACATCTATAATTTTGATCAGGAAAGAAAAATGTGACAAGAAATGAACCACTTCTGAACAACAGTAAACCTTCACCATAATAATCTTTACAAGTTAACAGAAGACTGATCGATCTTTTCACGTTTTGTTTTACAGCCAAGCTCGAGCTGGTGTCAACGCGTTTTGAGGGAGCTGTTGTACTCAGGATTAGATCCGTAAAGGAAAACAGTTATCTTTGCGTGGATTTAGAGGGCAATCTAACTACAGAGGTACGTGCTCAGCATAGTAAACTCTAAAGTGATTAATAAAAGGTTAAAAAAGGGCGCTCTTTTAAGCGGAAGAATGCATGGGTAGTTTTGTTACACCTGCATGCTTATTGGAATTCGTTCAATCTCCTCTCTTTTCAATCTAGACTACAACTAACTAATAGTTTTTACTATAAGATTAATTAAATTAACAAGCAGCTTCATTGCGTTTACAGCCGACTCTCTCAGTTAACGGACAGGACACTTCTGTAAAACGAAAACCTATTCAGCTGGTCCCTGTCTTTCTTTACTCCCTTTACTTTATTCTCTATAAGAGGGAAATCTCTCTAAGACAGACACTTGATGCCAATCCCAAAGGTGTCCTTCTTAGAGGGATTGGCTATATCATAAAGACAACTGAACGCCGTGAAACAAAACTAAACTCACGAGAAACGGCCTTTTCTAATTAAAGCCTTATTTAGAGTTGTAATCTCTAGCTGCGTCTTATCCTGTTCACAGACCCTCTATTTTCTCTTAAAAAGTCCCCCGAGCGCGCGTCCGTGCGCGCACGCCGATTATCGAAAAGAAAAATAAAGCAACGTCCGTGTACAGGTTCCGCTGGTTCATAAATCTTTCAACCAGGCAAGAATGCCGTGTTTTGAATAAAGCCTGTGTTAAGCTGCTCGAGTGTATTTTCCACCGTGGGGGAAAATACTTGTTGTTGTTTTTGCTTTTTAGCCAAAATCTCACCACCGCAAACTTGTTTTTGTTGTTGCTTCACTTTCTTGCAAGAAGTTCAATATTACTGGCAAGCATACAAATACGACTACGAAAAGTTTCCGAGCACTTGAACATAGAGAACAAATATATAGAAATGAATTACCAAACAACGTATATGACGAAAACAACTTTAACAAGTTGTACTCATTACTTTGGTACCGACTCAGGCCTAGCGATAGCTAAAGAGGGTTAACGCGAGGAACGGTTAATTAGAGTGGTCAACTAAAAATTTAAATTATAACAAAGCTTGCTCTTCTTTACTGCAGGTTCATGGAAACACAATGCAGCGTTGCTTGTTTAAAGAAGGAATGAAATCAGGGTTTACAACATTTCAATCAATCCATAACGCAGAATGGTTCCTTGGTTTTAAACGCAACGGAAAATTAAAACAACCGCACAACACCACGAATTCTCAAAAGGCGGCAAGATTTTTAACATACTAGTTTTTATCGTAGACCAAGATCCAACTATCTACTTTAGGCCAAAAATAGTTTAACAATTTAAGTTATTTTAGGTAAATATTGGTTATTTGTATATATTTATATCTATCTTTTAATGTGTACATAACGATATTTAAATTTTTAACGTATATTTATTTTCTTAAAAAGTAAAAATTGTGACTCGTTCAAGGTAGCTAGGAGACTCGCCTTGAAGAACGAATTTATTTAGTTATTTATTGATATTATTTAAAATTTTCTGTTTTCAAAAGGAAATAATACGTTTCATATAATTTATTCAAAACGACTGTTATATGGTGTCTTTTGACATTTTTGAAGGACAGAAAGCGATACTGTGTATCGTGTAAGTTTTATCATATTGACAATGTAACATAAAGTTGACTAGCTAACAAGTCGTCATGTCTAATATCGATAGCGAGACAATAATAATGAAAAATGAGCTTCCAAAAAGTCCAGCGTTTTTGGCGGGAGCAACTACATTTAAGAGGCTAGTATGGCGCCGCGTTATAAAAGTTGATTTAAATTTGATGTTTTTATCAGTTACGAAGTCTCGACAAAACAGTCTTTAATTCACAGAATCAGGGCCTCATCGGAGGTTCAGTTACTGAGCATTTTAAACCCGCGTTTTTGTACCTTTCAGATAAGGATTAAAAAGGTCTGATTGTCAATGTTTTTCACTGCAATCCATTCACTTTATTAACTTCGCTATATATAGTTTTTAACTAACTGAGTGCGGATATCTTAACATCTTAGTACTGTATTCATGTGTAAGCCGTAAGTGCTGAAATTGTCTTAGTCATGCGCGCGGTGACCTAGCCACTTTAAAAATGCGTTCCTCCCGCACACTACTAGCCTTTCTCAAAGCCACCCTCTCCCTTCCAGGAAATATTGATCTTCCCAATAGGAGGAGGGGGCAGGTTAAGTTACCGTATTTTCACTGTTTCGAAATTTTGAATCGTTTTTGGGCGTACGTTTTGCGTTTTTTTTTTATAAGCAATGAGACATGTAACTAAATAGGGATTTTGCACACTCACACCACTTGTTCTTTTAATTTGCGTCACATTTTTTGTCTACGTAAGTAGTGGCAAGCCAGGCACATATAATATCACATTGAACATCGCAAGCCCTTTTCGTAGCCGCGGCGCAAAAACGTGAGAGAAAAAAACCGGGGCTTGACCTGGCTTAAGGAAGGCACTGTTTTTAGTGTAGTAAGTGGCAGTAGTCAATTGAAAAGACAAAACAACGGTAAAAATTGCCTTACAGTGTAATGCTTTCTGTTGGTACCAGGTTAACCAAATCGCGTCAATGATATGGGTTTCCAAAGAAAATTACTTTAATTAGATTTTCCTTTTTCTGTAATTCCAATAAATGTGTCCATTCTCAGAATTCTCTGAATTTCTGACGTAAAACCAAGCGGTTAAATAAATGTACCCCCGTACACGCCTCAAAAGTACACAGCAGTGGAATTTACTAATGACGTGGTTTCATGATACCAAAAATATGATATTGTACAAACACCCATCGAACAAATAGTCATGATGCCCTTTTTTGGCATACGATATTTTCGATATTTATCAACGCTGCTTTAAAGTTCACGTCTTATATTTATGCTACTGAATGCGAAACTTGCATTTTTATGAAAAATCACAAATGTGCGAATTATTTATTGTAACGGAAATAAGAAAACAAAGAGTTATTTAAACTGTGTATGTTTATGTACAGGTCTTGTAAAAAATAAATATATATTTAAAAGAAACGTTTACTGTTTGTGTCGCATATACATAGTAAAGTTACCCTGGTTTGCTTTTAAAAAAAAGGCGGAGAGCGCTAATCCGACACTCGATCGCGGTTTTCAAAGCCATCGTGACGGGTAGGCAGTGCAGGCTTTGTAAAGCCCAAAGTCGAATAATTTTCATCACACACCACTTTTGAGTTTTAGGTTGAATGATATACTACTTATTAACCTCGTCTGTTCGGTCATTACCGGGAAATTTCAGAGGCCTTGATGTACTGCCCTTGCTATCGCTCGGTCAATACATTTGGTCAATCGGCATATGGTCTTTTCATTATAGATCTGAGCTTGCGATCAATTAAAACCAACAACTGGTCAGTGGATAACTTTAAAAAACACGTCACCTCAATGAGTTGTACGCTTCAGCTCTCGATACTGTCAGGTGACACTGGTCTGCGGATACCCTTTTTGACAGCTGTCAATTGACCATAACATGGATGTCCACTATCAAGTTAAACGCAGATTGTATATGCCTTGGAAACCTAGCCAGTAATGGCCGGTCATTGCAAGAAAACAACCAATCAGAGCGCGCGTACTATTGTAGCCATGGTATGAAATACCATACGTCTCCACCCCCTAACCTTGAGGGGCGCAGGGAAGAGCTGTTTAGCCTGTCAACACTATTTCAAAACGGATGTTTTCCTTAGCGCTTTCTATTACGGAAAGGTAATTATTAAGCCAATCATACTCGCAAAAGTAGATGACGTCACCGGAAGGCATTATGACGCTCGGAATTCAGACGTCTCTCTCCCCCGCGCTCCCCGTCGGTTAGGGGTGGAGACTAGCCTGCGAAAGCAGCCGTTTTCTCCTCGCTCTTCGCCGCTGGGGACGTTTCGCGAGGAGGAACGTTTGTGACTCAACGAAAGAAATTCCATACTGATGACGTAATTCAATGTTTAAATAATGAATCCGGTAGTCATGGGGTTCCAAATACAAATTTGTTCAATTTTACGTTTCTCCTGGTAGATTTTGCTAAACTGTTGTGTTCATATGTAAACGAGCTCCAGCAAAACTCAAATGCTTCTTGTAGAGAAGTTTATATTCCACAAATATCGACTGTTTTGTTATAGATTCATCACGTTTACATTTGACCTTTGTAGCCTTCTATCTTATGCCTGTCATTTGTAAACAATAACTAAAACAATGTAACTACTCCGTCGTCCAATCAGCGCTTATGACCGGATTCAGGACAGATGGCTGAGTCGCAGACGTTCCTCCCCGCGAAACGTCCCCAGCGGCGATGAGCGAGGAGAAACGTCTGCTTTCGCGGGCTAGGTGGAGACTTGACTTCCTTTAATACACTTTACTTCGTCACAGCCATCATAATGGTGTTCCAAACTAAAAGGGCGGCCATGTTGCTGTACCAAAGCCCGTTAGTGGGAGTTGAACTCTTTTCTTTCCTAAACACATTCCTTTGTTCCAATAAATTTGCATAGATGCTGGCCTCGTGAGAGAAAACTCTCCGTTTAAAAACTTCGAAGAAGACCGAGAAAATAAGAAATATAGCTGTTGATATTATTGCAAATCGTAATCGTGCAGTTTCAGTTCAAGGCCCGTTGTTACATCCGTTTTCAAAAAAAGTCTCGTAGGCGCCTTAGTTCTTGTCCGTCAACAAAAAACTGATACTCTTTTACCCGGATTGGCCTTGAATCATTGTAAAATTCGTGGACAAAGTTGTCCCATAGGTATAACCAATCACTTTTACACCCGAACCTAACCCAGCACCTCCAGGGTCTTGCTTCAGTGTTGACCTCTGTTTACTGCCTCCATTTTGACACCAACACGCAGCTTTACGGGGGGCGAGGAGGGGGGGAGATTTTAGCTATATATTACAATCAATGTTTTATTAGTCCTAAAAATATGGCCAATTGCAGTGAAACTGTTATCCCATGCGGAAAAGAAACTGTTACGTGATCCTTTTTCAAAACTTTTTCCCGATTTCTGTCCGTCCACAACGGAGGAGGAAAAATCGTTATTTGCCAAAATATTATTTCTACTCTGAGGAGAGTTTTTTTATGAACGTGCGGATTCCAGGACCATTTTTTATAGAATATGGCCGTGGTCTGGAGTTTGTAATGGATTTTGGAAGACGCAGTTTTTGTTCGTATCTCGAGACGGCAGTGCGCATACCGTAAAATTCCGAAAATAAGCCCCTCCATGTATAAGCCCCTCCAAATATAAGGCCCCCAATCCGGTAACGCAAAAAACCCTCCGTTAAATCGCCCCTCCAAATACAAGCCCCCCAGGAGCTTGTACTTGGAAAATTGCCCTCAAATACAAACTAACACAAAGCAAAAACGGTACATTTACTTCCAACTATAAGGCTAGCCCAATCGATTTTGAAAAGCAAATTTCCCTCCGTAGATAAGCCCCTCCAAAAATAAGCCCCCCAAAAAGGGCCTTTGAAAAATATAAGCCGCGGGGCTTTTTTGTCGGAATTTTACGGTAGCTTTATTTGAAGCGCATCAAAAATGTTGACGTAATCTGAGCGGCTAAACGGTAGCGGAAAATCTTTATCAAAGAGAGGGGGCTGTAAGGGTCTGGTCTGGTATAAGGTATCGAATTTTGGGCCAGGTCTGAGGAGTTTTTCAGAATCTTGTACTGATATGGATTACATGGAATCAGAGTCTAGGAAACTGCCCACCTACCCCTCCCTAAACCCAAAATTGCTCTATAAAGCAGTTAGTGTCAACGCTGGGTAAGAAGATGGGTAGGTGGGCAATTTCCCGGAATCTTATACTGATGCGGATCAGAGTAAGAGTCATAGGAAGCTACCCACCTACGCCTACCCTAACCCTACATTTTGCAATCTTATACTAATATAAAATTCCGCTTAACGAATTTTCTGAGCGCACCTCCCAGGATGCTATCTTGGCTTGAATAAATGAAATACTGTCTTAAAAATTCAAAACCAAAGGTTCTTGAAGTACATTTTAAAAAAGTGAGATATCGAACTAATTTGAAGGATGACTAGCGAAGGAGCGCGGTGTACTAGTAATCAGGTTTTAAGTGTATGTGACACGAAATTTTGTCAAACCAGGAGCCTGGTCAAACTGATTTTGTCCGTAGATAAGTTTATTTAACAATTGTGAACTTTAAACATATGTCTCCCAAAAGATGACTATCCAAAATCTGCTTTTTCCCCTTTCAGAAATGCCCCAAAGACTGGGAACGAATAAAGGATCAAAGAAAG